GTAAGACAAGCTCAGACTCTGACCACTTATAAGGCAAAGTTTTACTATTTAGCACTGCTCTACCAAGTGACAGCTAAAGCTATGTTTTTAAATAGCCTTATTTTTTAATTATTTTAAAAACGTTATTAATTTCATTAAATTGTGCATTTCAGTGTGTGTGTGTGTGTGTGTGTGTGTGTGTTTGTGTGTGTGTGTGTGTGTGTGTGTGTGTGTGTGGGGGGGGGGGGGGGGGGGGGGTTAAACAGTATAAATGTTAGTGGTACAGACATCAATGAAAATAATGTTACTAATTATGATAACAATACTAATGACAATAAATGGCTAATAATAATAACTGTGGCAGCAGGTGTGAGGCAGGAACATGAGGGCAGTAAACCCATGTCCTTGCCTTGCCTTCATTGACTGGCAGCAAGTCTTTCAAGCCACGTTTACTCTTCCTAACTCAGCACAGCCTAAGATTCTTCCAATATCTATAACTAGTTACATGTAATTTTGTTGGAAATTAATTACAAAATAAATGTAACTGTAATCTATTCCAGTTTCAGGGAAAAAATGTTATTTATGAAAATGTTCATGTTTACATTGGGGGTTATATCGGAACATTTTCTGTAATAAGCTTGGCTATATGTTGAATAATAATAATTTTGTTGCTTTGCATGTTTTTAATGTGCGCAATGTCTTCCAATGCTATTTCCAGTCATAGCCATTCAGTAAAGTTTGATGCTATTCTGATGCTTTTGATTGGTTCTCATGTTTGAATTTGCAGCACCATATTATAACAGTTACACTAATATTAAATTTTAAATAGGGTAACTTGTAATCGGTCACCTATTACATTTCCAACCTTCCCAACACTGTTCATATCAGACTTTGTCCATTGTTGGTCTTTGTTGAAAGGAAAAATAATAACATGGCTTTGCATCCACCTCTGTCAGCAATGAGCTGAAAGTCCAACAGCAGTTATTTCCTCTCATTAGTTGTGTGAACAGTTTACAATAAGATTTCTAAGTGTAGAAATCCAACAGATTCATAAAGTCAAGAGGTACGCTGTTAAATGAATGGGTCCAGTATGCCTTACTTTCCAAAACTAAGCTAATCTCCAACTTTTGCGGATAATGACAAATAAGCAGGTACAGAAATTACCCGGGTTGATAGTTGCAAGTTGGAAAGCTGTTATGCATGTAGGGATGAATGACATGTAAATGACTGTGATTTATCATTTTCTTTGTTTGAGAGGTTTTTGTTATCTGAAATGTCCTGGAAAGCCTGCTGATTTTTTTTAGGCACAGTTACTTCACAGTAGAAAAAGCCATTTGTATGTCATGAGAATGGAAATATCTTGAAATATATCCATGTGCTAAAGGGTGACTTCTGAAATCTTGGCACCTGGGGAAGGAATCATTCATCCAACTCAATCAAACATCAACACAATACTGCCATCTTGCAGAATAGACACGCACAGATCAGGCAATTACATTTGTTGATCCTGGCCACAATCATCAGACAATAACACCACACTATGTTACTGAAAAATGGGAGCTATAATTCTGTATATTTTTGCAAAATTATGAGGTTTTGGAACATACTAAGGATATAAATGGACAGAGGGGATGTGGATTATGTTGCAGGAGTGATTCAAATGTTTATGCAAACCTGTTGCTATGAAATAGGTCACTGATGAAATCCTTTGTAACTTTTTACACTTGTGTCAGGTTGAATTTGTCACTTAGAATTTGTAACTTTTAGGTAGATGTTTGCCATTCCTTACATTCACGTCAAGTTACTTTTTACACTTGTATCAGGTAGAATATCCAGGAATGGTTCAAATTGTTTATGCAGACTTTCATCACCATGAAACTGGGTTACTGGTGGAATCCTTTGCACCATTTTACACCTGTGTCAAGTGGAATTTGAAACTTGATCTACTGGGGTTTCAATTGTTCTGTACCTCATGTGTATGTTGTTTTGGACTAAAGCATCTGCCAAATGAACAAGCAAAGGTGAAGTAACTTTTTTAAAATACAAGCTGACCACAGCTACTGTCCTCTGCAATTAAAAAAGATACAATCTTTTCAGAGACACTGTTCAAGCCAAACAGGGGTTGAGAGTTTGATAATCCACAAATAGATATTCAGTGGAGTATTGCTTTTAAGTCCAACAGATGCAGCAAAGAGAGAACAAATCAGAGACTGGTAAGTTTAGGAGGGTGATCCCCATTGAAAATGAAAACACTCTGAAGACATTTCAGACAAATATGTCTTACTGGGTGGCAGTAACACCTGCCACTCAATTCCAATTAAACCAAAGTAACCAATATATCGGCTAACCTGCAGCAAGCAATGTAGAATAAGCATGTGGGCAGCTATGTTATGATGAAATGTGACCCCTCTGCTGCAGTGCAAACCTCGTCATCTTCTCCTAACTCATCATTTGGTGTCACAGCAAAGTGCAGCAGGGACCCAGAGCACGTTTTTGACAACTCACCATGGCACTCTGCCCTCATCTTGTGTCACCTGACAAACTGACACTGACTGGGCAGTGGGAGATGGAGCCAAGCGATTACACTGCTGACCTTTCGCTTACACTCAGATTTCTAGATGGGTTAGGTGATAGCAAGGGAACAGATGAGGAAGGGTGAAGGGTTGTTAGTTAGGACAAATTATACAGATGGACATGGAGAGTGCGAAAGAAAAGAGGTAATCATGAGAAAGAGTGAGAAAAACACCAGTAAGCAGAAGCCAGAGATGTTGGAGTGAGGAAAAAAAACGATAGGAGGAGATGATGGCTGTGGAGTGTAAACTTATGTTTCAAGTGCCTTCTTCCATTCATCAACCCCACCTGCCTTCTCTCCTCCCCTTTCCAAACCCATTTCTATATGTTACAGATATTAGCTTTCTTCCTCAAAATGCTTTCTTACATGCCTTATTTAGCTGTGGGACCTCTTGCTTTGCTTTCCGCCCCACTGCATGCACCCATAGCTTCAGCTCTTTTATAAATACCCCAGTGTTACTAATATGGCCAAACCATGTGGTGACAGTTAGGGGAACACAGGATGAGCTTTGGGGAATAGTTTCTAAACTGGAGAATGTAATCTGGCAAGTCACTTATGTTATAGTGTTGGTGGTGTTGTCAGAAGACCGCTGACATGCTTCCACTACTCTGCAATAGTACAGTGGGTTTTTGAATGTGTTTGTAAGAAAACCTTTGACTTGTGTATGGGGTACACAAGAACATGTACAAATATGAAAAATTACATTCTGATTTTGTCATCCCCAATTCTGTGCAGCACAATCAGAAGTTAAAAAAGTAATTTGTGTTTTGTGTGTTGTTATTTAATCTCTGGCGTACGCTGCACTCAAAATGATTCAATAATTGTTTCATTTCTTGTGTTAAGTCCTATTCACACATAGCTAGCATTACCTCAGGACTTCATGTGAAGTAGGAATTGACGTCTGTTACTTTCTACAGTAAAAACAAAATCTGTTTAATTAAAATTTACTGACTAAATTGCTCTTTTGAATATGATGGAAATGAAACATTCCCAAGACATTTGTATTATTTCTGTTAAAAGAAAAAGAAAAGCAGAGGGTGGGTAGCAAGCAGCAATCAGAAATTTTGACAGATGACTTTTGTGCTTGTTAAAATATTGAGGGAATTTTGAGGTGGAATTTTCCGTTTTGGATTACAGACATGGCACATATGTGCAAGATTAAGCAAAACAGCTGCATTTAGTACAAATAACATGAGGTCCTCAGATAATGATAATTCCTTAACACTTTAGTCCCCCTATTTAACATTATATAAAACCTTAATAAATGGTTAATAATCCATTATAATGTAATTAGAAGCAGAAATAAGTTTATTGTTGTATGTGTTAACAACTTTAACTCCTTCTGTGGGAAGCTAAGAAAGCAGACTGCTGTATAAGCAAGACCAGTTCAAAGTGTTTTACAAAACATAAAAGCAACATGGGGCAATATAAAAACATAATACATAAATACAATATAAAAAAGAGTCAAATAGAAAATAAAAGCACAATAAAATAGGACAGACATGCCTCAAATTTGATTTAATAAGAGCTGCAATTTAATAAGAACTAAGAGTTGCAGCAGACCTGCAGTTTTCTGTTCCAGATATGTCTTCATATTTTATGATATCATCACCCTAAAAAATTTAAGTATAGGCAGAATGTGTAGCATTTGTCGTTCGCTCTTTGTAAACAAAGTTACAAAAGTTGCACAGATAGAGAGAGAGCGCAGCAGTGGCTGAGCCGGCTTGAGAGTGACAGCGAACGAATCCTGCAGGAAGAAACCATCCTGCAGGATTTTGGATTTTGTGTGAATGCATGAAGCTGAAGCCAGGCGTTATACTGTCTGCTGTGTGTGCTTAGCCCCACACACTGTAAAATACTAGATACATACTTGACAGAGAGCAAAAGAGAGAGACAGCGATGTAACATGGTCGCAATGTTTTATAGTGTCCCAACTTCACAGACTGCAGAATGAACAGACATGAAAAAAAGCTGTTCAGCATCAAATGTTTATTTAGAATATATATTACTAATATATTATTATTAGTAATATAATTAATATATTATGAATGAAACTTAATGTGAACTATTCGGTACAGTCCTAAAATATAGAAAAATACAGGTTAAATAAAACAGAGTCTATGCATATGTCTTCAAAAATAAGTTTTTGCTGATAAATAATTCAATAAAAACTACATTAATAAACACTTGACAGTGTCCATATAGCTATGTATAATGACGTTATAGTGTGTTATAAACTATTTATTAAATGTATGTACAGGCTAAATAGGGGAACTTAAAGTAAAGTTAGCCGTAGTCCTGTGTGAATGGGGGCTATAATCACCTGAGTACAATCTCAGTATTTAAGTTTGGGCCTGTTTTTTTCTCCTGTGAAGGCCACTCCGATTTGTTGTAAACCTGGAGGCTGTGACTATTGTGCTTTGCCCTAAAGCATTACCTCTTCTTGCAGCTGATCACAAGTCAAGCAGCAATTATCTTTCAGGTATGTTAAGGTCTGCCTTTTGTGTCTGTAAAGCTGGGCTGCGAAACAGAGATTCTTCTGCTGCTGCAGTATCTGCTGATTGTTCTCTTCTGCTCATTGACTGCAGTATGGTTTAAAACAGATGAAATTACAGGAAGCAACAGACATTACAGACCAGCGGAGACTGAACTGCTTTCAAAGTCAAGCAGCAGAAGCTTGGGCTGTGCCAGTTTGAGTTTATGTTTTGACTGTACCTTTGTGTACCATAGCAAGTGGATTTACTTGAGAGAAGAGACAGGTAAAATTGTTCGAAAAAGGCTCCCATCTAACCTATTAATTACGCTTTAACATGTCCATCCATCCATCCATCCTCCACCCATTTTTCCTTCCAACCATCAATGATCATAGAGGGTCACCCAAATCACAAACTTACTTACTTGAGATGTCATACCTTGCAGGTAGTTTTGGTTTATGTGCCAAGATATTAGTCAAAATTTTTGCCATCACCCTAGTCCAACAGAAGTGAATTGTATTTCAATTGTGCTGCTCAAAGCATTGAAAAATTACACTTGAGAAACTCAAAACCAAGAAATAGTCCCAGGGAAAATGCTTCCCAGCAATGTCTGTGGAACAAAGCTTTGAAGCTTTGAGCAGCACACGGGAGTTTCCATTGTTTTATGGTGGGACATAAGTTACAGAAACTGATATCTTAAATGTATTATTGTCTGACATGGGTAAATACACATATTTGATTTCTTGCAAAGAGCTAGGTGAGAAGATTTTTACCATTTTCATATCTGTCCTTATAATGTTATAGCCAGCAGGCAGTTATCCTAGCGTATAGTGTCTTAGTTTCGGTAAGCATATTCTAGAAAGAGTGTCTGTTTAATCCATACATTGGAAATGTAAAAGAAAACAGAGAGACAGATATGACAATGGTAATGATCCTCTCATCTAACGTTCTGCAATAAAGCATATTTCTTAAAAGACTGAACTCTTTCTTAAAAGATTGAACCTACCAAGACAAGAGTAGGGTAGTAGTAGTAAGAAAATATGTTGTTTTTTCTGATTTGAGAGATCATTTGCTATTAGCTGATTATTTGGCTTTAGTGTTTCATGGCAAGTAGGCCAAATTAGAGAGAAACTGGCCATGTGTCCAATCATGAGCTAAAGTGTCTGGAGACCAAAATAATGGATGACATAAAATATTGCTTGTGAAGAACAATAGAGCAAATACTATACCATACTATATTCGCTATTTGTGCTGGGGCTGTGAGGCATTTGGCTGCTTATGAATGTTATCCATTTCGTTGTGCAGCTTTGCAATCCACTACATAACGCTTTTGACTCACTTCATGCGAAGTGTAACCTCACATTTAAAGGGGCAATCATACTTTAATACTGTGCAAGAGCTGAATGTAGTGACAAAGCAATACAATAGAGAATTAATACAAAACGGTTGTATGTATTTGTATACAACTGTGACCGATATATATGGAGAAATATCAATGTGAAAAGGAAGAAAGAGAGTTAACAACACAAGTGTATGCTTAAGTTTGTTTGTTTACAGTGTAAATATGTATGCGCATGTATGCAGTGGCTTTACTTTTGCTATTTGTGAGCTCCTTTCCTTTCCACCACACCTGTTACAGAATCTCTTCTCCTCGACATAGTTGGCTCAAGTTCTGCCCCTCTTGTTCTTCTGGAAACTCCGCTGTCCATGCTCCTCTCACAGCGGCTATAAGGGCTGTCAATTGTTGGCGTCAGTTTCACTCAGATTTAGAAAGTGCAGGACAGCAAGCTAAAGCTTTTGCTTTTAAGGCCTTGAAATTAATATGAAATGCATCTCTGTGTCTCTCTGTCCAGCTTGCAGCCCAAGTTCTTGATGATCTTGATGATGAGGACATTGGATTTGGCCTGGTGGATCAAAAGAAGGACTCTGCTGTTGCTAAGAAGCTAGGTAAGCTTGCTAGTCACTGACAGAAACCTTGCATGGCAAAAACAATCTGTATAAATAACTAGTGTAGCATATGTGTGGGTTTATTGTACACTTGGACTTAAATTGACACCTATCCAGTGGTATTCCATGGTCACTGATTAATAAAATAATACACAATTGTCAAAAGAACTAAAATAGAGAGTAAAAATATGTTAGTTAATAATACATGTAATTGTTGATGTCTGAGGCCTAGTGCAATATTGGCAATAAATGAAACAACCCTGCCCTCAAGTGTTGACCAGAGGTGTTACAACTTTTTTGTAACAAGAGGTGCTGGGGCAGTATTCTGATTCATGGTGCTGAACAAAGAGTTCTTCTTACATGGTGTAAGTGTGATAAATGCTGAATGCAGAGCCAGGAAAATAGAGCTGTGGACTCAAATGCAGACATTGGCAAGGAGGATGCAGTTCAAAAAGGTTTATTGAAATAAACAAAACAGGCTTACGTTGGAGCACTAGACAAGAGTCCAAACAAAGGGGTAAATCTAAAATGCATGGTAATCCAAAAGGGAACAAGCCAAGGAAACAGAGCATGAACAGAACATTCACATGCGACGAGGACACAACAAAGATATAACAGAACTGAGGACTTAAATACCAGGGTAAACGAGCAGGGTGGGATCACAACAACAGGTGTGAGACATCAAGGTAATGAAATAAGACGGGAAGCAAAATTAGACACTGACAGCAAACGCAGAAAACATTGAAACATAGACCGAATACACATAGCACTCAGACAAAAAAGTAACTTGACACAGACACCGAACATACAGTACCACTGTCAAAACACAGAAACAGACGACAAGGACAAGACAGACTGACAAACGACAACGGACCAGGATGTATAAAACAGAACACAGAATACGTGTACAGTCTAAATGGAAAAAGAACTGTCAGAGCTACGAACTAAGACACAGAAGCAGGACTACACACTAAGACATGAACTAGGACATGACAGGGGACGGTAAAAATAGTACTAGACCAAACATGTATTCATCACAAGAATGAACAAGGCAGAACAGTAGAAACGCAAGACATGGAACCAAAAAAACCCAAAATACGATATGAAAACCCCAAACCATGACAGTATGAGCAGTAGTGCAACAAGCACAACATAAATTATACTTATTAAGGGGCTTTTAGGACCTGTTATCAACCACAACATATCATCGCAGTTGCAATTGTGGAATCAAACTTTGAAGTTTATTGAAAAACTATTTTTCGACTACTGAAACTTATTACCATAATGTAGGAACATGCATAACAATCATCCTGGCATAAATCTTGGTCTTTTAACTCTCTTACAAGGTCTAGACGAAGTGGAAAGCATCTACATCTTTTGTGACAATGAGATCATCGAGTACGATGGAGAGCTCGCTGCAGACACCCTGGTTGAGTTCCTCTATGACGTAAGTAATGTATGGTCAATGATAAGAGACTGTTCCAACACTTGGGCTAAATCTATGTGGAAGATAGATATATTGTGCACCCTTGTTTTACCAATAGAAGTGTCAGCCTCATCCTGCTTTCAGGATACTGACATGTGGAATTATGTCATGCACATAAATTATAACATTTTGTCAACTCTAAGCTTCAATCTATTAAAGATCAATCACATATTTGCATTGTCATTGTCTCTTATCAGGTAATTGAAGACCCCGTGGAGATCATTGACAACGAGCGTGAGCTGAAGGGTTTCCACAACATTGATGAGGTCATCAAGCTGGTTGGCTATTTCAAGAGCGAGAAATCTCCTCGTACGTTGAAGATTATGATCTTAAGATTGAGCTTCAAGCAGATCATATGCAATCGTTCTTTAAATCAAATGCTTAATAAAGTGTTTTTATTTTCTCCATCCAGACTTTATAGAGTATGATGATGCAGCTGAGGAGTTCCATCCCTTTGTCAAATTCTTTGCCACATTTGACCCCAAGGTTTAAATTGTTTGCTTGAGTTTTTGTGTGCCTTTTTATTTTCGTATGTGTACACAAAAGTGTGAAAATTTTTAGGATTTTCAAATTTTCTTTTAACTTTGTATTTCCTGTTTGATTGCCTTTCTCTTAACATTATTTAAGATTGCCAAGAAGCTGAAGCTGAAGCTGAATGAAGTTGATTTCTATGAGCCATTCATGGAAGAACCCGTCACCATTCCAGGAAAGCCCTATGTTGAGTCTGAACTTGTTGAATACATTGAACAGCATGACAGGTGAGACCCTGTGTCATACTAAAATAAAATTTTAGTTGAGATTTTTTGGAACGGTCATAAGGGTTGTTTTGGAAGAACTGATAAGTGACATTTAAGTTCATTTAGGTATTAAAACTGAAGTTTATTTAAAATCTAGTTTAAGCCATCTAATCACAAAGTACTTACCTGGATCCAGACCACTGAATCCGCCAACTACACCAGGTTCACTGATTCTAGTCTGGCATCATGACATGAAACAGTGATCAGTTAAAAAGTGATCATTCCAGTGAACACTGTTGAGGAACTAACACCCTTGTCAAACTGTTGTCAAACTAAGTAAGAATAATATCAACAATGTCAAATGCTACAGACAAGAAATCAATCATTTTAAATCAATTACAAGTACTGTATATAGTTTAATTTTACTTTGCTCCGCTCCTAAAACGGCAAAACCAGTATATTTTCATGGCTACTCTTTAGAGTCGACTTGAAATTAAATTACATTGAGGCAGATAGAGTGGAGGCAATGTCGGACTGGAGGTGAAATTGGAGTGTAACGAGTTGACAAATCTGTCTGTTATCAAGCATATAAAGTACCACTAGTGTACAATCAAAACAGCATTATACAGCGCAACAACTTTTTGATGGGAATATGAAAATTTGACTTTTGATACCTTTATTGTTCCAGGCCTACTCTGAGGAAGCTTGAGCCGCACAGCATGTATGAGATCTGGGTAAGGGTGATTTTTGAAATTTCTCCATCTGCCTCCATCTGTCTCTATTAAAACTTGTATTTTTTGTCGGTCAATCTAGAGTGGGAATATTTTGTGTTCACAGGAGGATGACATTGATGGAGAGCACATTGTTGCATTTGCTGAGGAAGATGACCCAGGTATATTTCTACCTTTGTGTCTCTTTATTTACAATTATAGAACTGATATGTTTGAAAATCAAGCTAATACTTTATGGCACCTGGTACACCACTGTACCTGACCTCTGAATTTCTCCTTAGATGGTTTTGAATTCCTGGAAATCCTGAAGGAGGTGGCACGCGAGAACACCAACAACCCCAACCTCAGCATCATCTGGATTGACCCTGACAATTTCCCCCTGGTATGAATACGCCACACTGAAACTACATATCAGCTATTGTACATCTTTCATTTACAATGTTGCAATTTTTTTCTTCTAAAGGATGTGTCAAACCCAAAAAGATAATCAGTCAGAGATGGCAAACAAAGCATGCAAGAAACAGGAATGAAGGCTAAACCGCTAGGACTGGGTAGTATACTAGCTGATCTGGCAAATGACTAGGGAAAGAGAGCTGGTATGTACTGTATGCAATGTAGCTAAATCCAACTGTGAATAGTGGGAAAACACTGAGGGCAGCAACAGGGCAGGTGGGAAAACAGCAGGAATCTGAAATGACAGGAGATGTTAATAACTGGAAAAACAGGAAAATTAGCAAAAATTACAGGTATTGTGTTAAAAACAACTTCAAATGTCATCTGAGTCATCGTGAGATATAAGCCTAACCATTTTCACTCTGTCTCTCTTTCAGCTGGTGCCATACTGGGAGAAGACCTTCCTCATTGACCTCTCTTCTCCACATATTGGTGTGGTTGATGTTGAGGATGTAAGTAAACGTTCTCATCCTTTGCAAAAACCTAAAATGAAATACAGATTTCAAGTTGTTTGGAGTGTTGCCCGGTACAGAAAAAAACTATTGAAATGAAATTATTTAGTTATGTATTAATGTAGTATGTTTTAAACATGTTTTCATTTGAAAAAGAGGGGAATCATTCCTATGGTATCTTTCTGATATGATGGGGTGTTCTCTCACCACCATGATATCAAAGTGTTACAGTTTCTGTGCTTCCTTTTGAAACTTGAAGCAAAATGCTGCTTTAAGCTACCTGTAACAGTAACTTATAATCAATAAAAAGATAGCAAAGGTAAAACACTGGGCATACTGTAAATATTTGTGTGCCTATCCTTGACAGGCCGACAGCGTGTGGATGGAAATGGATGACGATGATGACATGCCCACAGCTGATGTGCTCGAGCAGTGGATTGAGGACGTTCTTTCTGGAAAGATCGACCCAGATGATGATGATGAAGAAGAAGATGATGATGATGATGACGAAGATGACGACGAAGATGATGATGACGATGATGATGATGATGATGATGATGATGATGATGATGATGACGACGATGACGACGAAGATGATGAAGATGATGACGAAGATGATGATGATGAAGATGATGATGACGAAGATGATGATGACGAAGATGACGATGATGAATAAATGTTTACTACCATCTTTCATTTCATTATGATTTAGCCACTAATGGCAAAATCAAAAGTAGCACCAGTTTTTTTTCTAACATTTTGCAGCAAACACACTTTGCTTCCTGTATGGTTTCCTGTAAGGGACAAATATAATGACCTTATGGGAAACTTTTGCTGTCAGGGAGAGAGATTTTCGAAGAAGCAGATGATATGCATCTCTGTTGATAAACGGGGTTGCAACTTAAATCTGGCGTTATATGTCCTTTGTTACTGGATTACAATATGCTAATCTCTCACCTCTGAGGTTAACTATCCACATGAGCAAAGAGGCTAACAGAGGCTGGCTTCCCTTTCTACCTAATGTCACAGACCGGGGTTCTCCCCTTTATCATTTTCTGTTTACTGTAATCCTGTTTCAATGACATGTTTTCTACTTGATGAAGAGAAGAAACAAACACTTTCTTGCACTATTTTTAAAGAGAATAAACAAACTTACTGGAAAACTATTAAGGTACCGGGTATTAAAAATTGACAAAATCATTTGTTTCTGCTCTCATATTAAAATTAAAAGACAAAAATATTTGAAATTAATGTTTGTTGTTGTCATTAATTACTATTTTTATGCCAGTGTGTGTGACTGTGATTTTCTGGTGGTTTGTAGGCAAGTGCTTTGTTTAAGCATAATACTTAAATGTGTGCACCTCCCCCTGCTGATTTTGAAAAAACATCGCTCATAATGTAGTGGGACAACAGTGTGGATTTGTGCATTTTACATTAAATAAATTTGGAGCTACTCCAAATTCCTCTTTTCCTCTCCCAGACACACATGTAACCGTGGCAACTGAATCAAGGGCAACTGGACTTGGTTGAAGATACTGGAAGACGTTTTGTCCCTCATCCAAAGGACTTCTTCAGTTCTGACTGACTGGCAGGGAAACTCAGCTATTTAACCTCAGTGGGGTCGTTGGCCCGGGTCATCGATACTGCTGGTTCGTTAGTGTTCCTTGTTGCTGTGACGACAGTCGTTACAGTCATTAGGACTACCTGTGGCCAAGACTGAACAGAAGAAAGAAACACAAGCAGTAAGACCAAACAAACGTTCTGTGGTCAGGGATGTCCATAATGTTAATATAGTCTTTTGACTCCTTAAACTCATAGCTTATTTTCATTAGTTCTCCTCTGCCGTATGAGTCAAATGCTTCCTACAATCGAACCTCCATTTCTCATTGTTCAGTCATTTTTTATTTTCCCTGTATTTAACCACCCTTTTATATCGCTTTAGTTAGTTAACAAATTCACTGTAATCAAGGAACTGTGTGTGTTGCCTATTTCCACGTCCCTGCCAAGAGAATTGACCCTTTAGATAGGAGACTGACTGATTGATTTAAGATAATTTAGCGATTATTAACTAACAGATCTCTGGTGAATAATTGTATGATTATTAAAAGCTACCAAGAGGTCCGGAGGTAAATCAGGTTAATAACAACTCTGGTGGTGAGATTAGACGAGAGATTTTTGATATTTTCTGAATATTAAAATTCATAATTGGGTATTAATTCTCATAAATTTATTAACATTCATAGCTAATTTAGCCATGCTACAATAAATTCTGAAAATATTTTGCACTCTGCTAGTGCTACAGTCTTATGTGACTCCTCTACTTATAAATGTATTCTTTGTAGGGCTGGGCACGCATTAATTAACACCTACAATTATTTTATTGCACGTTAACACAGTTTTTAAAAAATTATTATTCTTTTGAAAGTCCGTTGCTCACTGGCTCTGAATACACATACACCTACAGTCAAACCATGGGTCATGGAGGGCTGGCATGTTGATCAGGCTGCAAATCACCCACCCAAACAAGCAGTGAAGGCTCGGCAGACTACTTGCATGCAGCGTGTGGCAGTAAATGGCATGTGCTCTATTAAGAGTAACCATGGGCACGAGCACCGCCGCAACAGTTTCACGGAACACAACCATTTGTCGCTACACTTTGAGCTCGATGGAAAATAGCTTTGGTTTAATATTTGATTTGATTACATTAATGTTTAAGTTGAGATTTACAAGAAATGTTTTATCGCTACTGTGTAAAGGGAATACTGCTGGTAAAAAGCACCTTATTTGCTCAAAGTGTTTCCAAACCACATGTTATTGCACTTTTGTGTATATAGCAGTACATTAAAATTAAAAGTGCATGAAATGTGTACATTTTATGTAACTGTCATAATAAATACGTATGTTATGTTATGTTGTTTGTTTGTTTGTTGTCGAGATCTGAACAAATAGTTCTTACATTTGAAAACTAGATGGCCAGATGGAGTAGCCACACAGATGGAAATAGTATACAATATTATTGATAAATTAAAGTATGTAGGTATTAGTGTAAATGAAATATATATTGTTATGAAATATATATTATATGTATATTTTGAGAAATGCACCTGCTTGCAATGGATCATATCCTGACATGATCCTTTACTATGACTTACTAGCAATTCCAGGGCAAAGTTGACAATTTCATAAACAACATTTAAAATGATGCACACGTTTTCAGATTTTCACAGCTGTTTACTTAGTGGTTTATAATTTGAATTGTATTTAAATGATTCCTTCCAAGTAACTTTATTTCTTCATTGCCAAAATACCCTCTGAAACATGGGAATCTTTGTAAAGTTACTGATCACTGAAAAGTTGAGAAACATTTCTGTTTACATTTATCTAGGATATCAAAGGTTAGCTGATTGCAACTAAATGTAGTTAACACTATTTCCTCACTGCACATCTGAAATAAGATAATAAAGTCACTTGTCAAATAGGATGTTAAAAATTAACAGGTGTGCTTTAAACAACATAATAGCAGCCAGAGGGATCATATCAAGTTATCATATCGAGTTAAGGTGTCTGAGCAACATTTAATCAACTTAGAAGATGAATTTTACTATTTTATTGTTTGTATCACTGTTCTGTGGCCTGATTTGGGCCCAGGATGATGTAATTCCTCCAGAAACAGAAGAAAACACTGAAATACAGTCATGCTTTCCTGACATGTGTAATCTCCTGAAAGAGTTTGGTGCCATGAGAGAAAAACTGGGAGTTATGGAAAACAGGCTGAAGGACAGTGAAACCAAACTGAAGGACAGTGAAAACCAGATTATTGAACTGAAGAACAAAGGTAAAGTGGAACTTTTTGATTTAAAAACTTCAGTGAAGAATGCTTTTGTATGGTTGAATAAACAAAATGTAACAGTGTGGAAATACATTTATAAAAATAATGTGATTACAATGTTTTGCTTTATAGAAAGAACCATGGTAGTATTCAGTGCAGGAACAGGTGGGAATGGAGCCATTGGACCCTTCAACACAGAAACAACTGTAATCTACAGAACAGTGAAAACAAACATCGGTAATGCCTACAGTCCATTCACTGGTAAGTACATTAGTACTGACATTTTCTATAATCTCTATCTTTAAAAATACATAAGTAAAATGGTATGCAGGAATGCAGATGTGACAACATGTTAAATAAATTAGAGGTTAAAAAAGCGGTGGAGTAGATTAGATTTTTTGCCATACAGTAAAGTACATCTTAACGTTGCATCAGTTTTTACAAGATGTTTTGGTGACTGATGTTTCTTTTTTAGTGAGGGACCATCACAAAAGTGCATGTAAAATATCATAATAAACCACACAATAGATAAAGTTTGTACAAACATTGACAAGGGAAACACATTCATTCTGTGATTGTGGTGCATTGCCAAAACTTACCAGAAATAGAACAAGAAGAATGTAGTGACGAAACACGCTCTGTAGCGCTGTTTGTCCGTTTTCGGCTACTGTAGAAACATGACGATGCAATATGACGTCCATAGAAGGGGGGACCCACGGTTATGTAGAAATAAATGGCTCATTCTAAGGTAATAAAAACATAATGATTTAAGGTCTTTATACACCATTGAAAACATAGTTATGGATCTTATATTGCATTTCTGTCAATAAATCCACACTGGACCTGCAGTTATGAAGTTTTTATATAGTACTTATTCACAAAGGTGGAGATCAAATGTGAAGATTTGCTGCATGGTTGAAATATGTTAGTGTGTACTTATGAGGAGTATCAAATGCAGTAGAAGATAATTTATTCTAAGTAGGTCTGTCCACCATGTTGGTCCAGAATGATGTACTGTATCTCGACAACTATAAGATTAATTGGTATGAAGATTTATCATTGTATACAGACATCCATGGTTCCCAGTGGGTAAATATTGTTGTCCCCTGACTCTCCTCTAGTGCCACCATGATGTTGACATTTTATTTCAGAGAGAAATATCTTCCTCAATTAAACAATCAATCAATCAATCCTGCAATTAAACACATGTGAGACACATGAGCTATCAAGGCAGACAGGAAACAAATCTAGACAAAAACACCAAGCACCAAAATTACAAAATAAAACAGGAAGTAAAGCTACAGACAATACTCAAGGATATTGGTAACTAAATACAACAGAAAACAAGGAAGCAATGATCCAGTATCAAAACCTAAACAAGAACACAACACTGGAGTCAATGGGTCAAACCAAAAGGACAATAAACAAAATAACAGAAAAACACCACACTGAAGTCCAGCGTCGTAACCCTAATATATACTAATACTAGTATTACTGCACTGTAAAAAAAATCTGTTACAAGTAAAGCCCCTTTTCCAATGCACGGTACCAGCTTGACTCACCTTGACTTGCCTTGATTCTACTCGTCTTTTTTTGTTTTTTGGACTTTTTGAAATTCTGAAAATATTGGGAAATGCCGTCACAATTAAGGCCCAAAGTGACACCTTCACAACGCTGCAAAGCTCAATATCATCACAGATAAATTTAAATAATGAAGGTGGAACCAGGCATGAAGTGTTGTTACATGAAAATGTCAAAGTAATTTCAGTGTAAATCTAATAATTGTGTCATAGATAAAGCTGATTGATATTTATGGATTGAATTTCTACAGTGTGTGCAAGAAATAGAGAGAGCACTTTAAATGTGAAAGATTCAAGGACTTGGATCTTCAAGGACTGTCAGATGTTGGAATAAAATATTGTTTCCACAGGTATCTTTGCTGCACCTGTTCCAGGCGTTTACTACTTCACATTCTTTTATCATGCTGGAGGAGCCAACCCAGTGAGTCTAGCCCTCGTGAAGAATGGCCAAGCTGTTGCGACAGCCTATGACCACCGTACATCGCATGACGGGGCTGATAACGGAGGCAATGCAGTGTTCTTGCAGCTGCAGCAAGGGGACCAGGTTTTTGTACGCTTAGGTGCAAATACAAATATTTGGGGAAACGATGCCATTACCACCTTCAGCGGTTTTCTAATCAGTGAGGTTTGAGAAACATTGAATAATGATTCATTTGTCATTACAATTTTAATTTTAATTTAAAGGAGACCCATTATGCTTTTCCATATTTTATGACTTATCTACGATGTTACAATGTTGGATGTTCATGTGAAACATGGCCAAAGCTTCAAATAACAAGGTAAAAGTATTTAAAATAAATCTCTGTTGGCCAAAACCTCAGATTTCCTCCTGTTCTGGGAGGGCCAGTTTAAGATAAAAAATTATTTTTTTGAACTTTGAATCATGAAAAGCTGCCATATAGGAGTCACAGAACAACAATTTAGGACTGGAAATCCAGTATAATAGGTCTCCTTTAAGATCTGAAATTATGTGAAAGTATTCAAAATCATATGTTAATTTAATTGATTCCTATTATTACAGCTGTTCTAGAGACTATAGTTTAA